CGGATTGCAAACAACTTTAGGTGCATACTGCCACCTCCGGAGTCGGCTTGACTCGGTTTGCATTTATAAAATGCACACATGTGTTTAATCTTTAATGTCAGATATGTACTAAGTAAATACATTTGTTCCTGCTCAAGATTAGATTCAACGTTATTGTTATTGCACATATTACAGGTACTGAGACAACGAAATGCAGTTTAGCTTCTAACCAGGTGCAACAAGCAGTGAAGTCAAAAGCAATGTACACAATCTACAGAATAAAATATAGAATGAATTGAATGATGAATAAACAGTGAGGGGTATGAATACACTAGATATCAGCCTGTGAGCAGTATGAACAGTGTGTATGATATGCTAAGATATATAAAGTATGAAAACGGTAAGCAGTGCAAGTATAGTATAAAATATATGGATATTAATTTCATTATGATAAACATTGTGGAACAATGATGAAAATGGGAATGGATGTGGCGACGTAAAACTGACACAAAACACAACAAACTTTTGCCGAGCCAATTGGAGAGTTTCATCAGCAGCACGTGGTAAAACCACCAATGAGCGCTCAGCTCGAGATACCAGCGAGTCGTTTCCCATCAAGCATTTCGCTTTCGCAGCCCGTGGAGAGGAACTGCGCCGGTGTCAGTACCAGATATGTTCGGCCTACCAAATATGTTCGGTGTATTTCCGTCGCATCCGTCATCCGTCATATCCGTCATATACTCACCTCCCTCTGCTCCCAGCGCTATGCTGCCACACACCGGCCGTCTGCGGAACTGCAGCCGGAGGAACTCGGTACAGCTTGTTATGTGTGAACGATCTAGATCCCTCCGCTTCCCCATAATTACCGCGACCATTTTAACTTTCATGACAGAAATGGAGAGCTTTTATGCTGAGATAAAGCAGTACGTGCTCAATGGTGGTTACCACAATCTCACCATCGCCGCTGAAAAGCATGATAAAAGGAAGGCGTTAATTCGGAGGGCATCCAACAATACCTGATCAAAGGTAAGTAACAGAATAAGACCATGGTTAAGTCACGAACATACGTTTTTATTATGAGGTATAAACCCCCTGTACATGTGACATCATCACATCCCTTTACTTATAGGGATCAATAAAGTATATATCTATCTATCTATTTATCTAATGGTGTTTTTTGGTGCAAAAGTGATCATACCTCTAATGGTTTATCATATTGCAATTCCAACATTTTTCAGTAAATCGCAAGGACTCCACAGCTTGTTTCTCCTTTTTCTTTTTATACACACTTTACATTACTGTAGTTGTTACGTCTAAACCACATTTGCCACTGGATTTCTTGAACAGCTTTTAGTCATAATGTCATCTCTACACATGTCTAAATGATTGTTTTGTTGTTCCTGTTGTGCCAGCTGGAGATTTGTACTACACATACAAGGACAATGAGAGGATGGTTGTGTGCACCAAGGACCAAATTATCAATGTCCTGAAGGAGTGCCATGATAACCTGGGTTCCGGAGGTCATGCAGGGAGAAGGCGCACCACCGAGAAGGTTTTGGCAACGTACCACTGGTCCACTATGCGGGAGGACGTGAAGAAATGGGTGGGAGTTTTTGACTGACTGACTGATTATTGATCTACAGAAATGTGTTGTATGTGTACATTGAAACAGAGTGAGACATGTGTGGATCTCATTGGCCCACTTCCCTCCACTGCTAAGGGCAAAAGGTACTATCATGATGGGCTGAAGCATGTGTAACCTCCTTTAAGGGGACCTATCATGCAAAATGCACCTTTGGACGTCTTTTATACATGAATATATGTCCCCGGTGTTCCAGGGAACTCACCAAGTGTCAGAAAACACAACCCTCTCTATTTTCCTCCTTCGCCAAATCTCTAAAAAAGTGGCTGAAACGGATCTGAAAAAAACGGATCCAGATTTCAACACTTTCCTACGTCACAAAGAGACGTGCTCCGCTTATTGGTCAACTCTCCACCTATCAGGGGAATGAGCCACGGCCACGTGCATTGCCGGGATCAATACCAACCATCCGGGAGGTGTTTATGAACTTCTCTCAAGTCCAACACGGATATGCCTCCAAGCTAATGCTAAACCCGGGATCAATACCAACCATCCGGGAGCAGGCCAGTGAGGACACATCCAATTATGAAGCTGTAAGTTTTTATTTAGCGGTGTTTTTCCTGATAAAGCTATCTCTAGCTTGTAGTATGTAGCATGTAGCATGTAGCTTCGCCGTATCAATGTCGCCTCAAACCCAAATAGTAATCGGTTAGGTGTTTATATGTTTTTATAACATTTTATATTGTACGCTCCGCAGTCTTTGTTTGTCTTTTATTTTAATTATCAGGCATTTGCTAACATGTTCAGTCATACTGCCGTAATGGCGATCTGTGTGAAGGCTGTAAAGCCACGCCCTAGCCGATAACACAAGTATTTATTCTCCTATTTATTAGTATTTTGTATCCTCTAAAATCATATTGAGTAAGTTATAATAACAAACGTAATCTTCTGTAGGTAAGTGCCGTTTTTTGCAGCGTTATATGTAAAAGCTTTTGTGATTGTAGTCTGTAAGAACGATCAGATATCATCGATCTGTAAGCTAAGCGCTACGCTAATGAGACATGCCGTTTTTTGCAGCGTTATATGTAAAAGCTTTTGTGTTTAATTGTTTGCGCACATGAATATAAATGGGGGTGTGTGAGGATACAACACTGTGTGTATGTATGCGAGGGGGGACACACACCACGAGTAAAACGGAGCTAAAGCCCCGTTGGTCTGTTGTTGTTGACAAGGCCTTACCTAGCAACAGGCTAATTAGTGGCTATCATCTGTATTGAGTCGAAACACAGCATGCACGTTACGGTTCAAAACTAACTCAGATTGGAAAAGGCTAAGCAAAGAGCTTTGCTAAATAGAGAGTTTTAAGCCCCATCTTTTGGGATTTCAGACTATATTTATCCAAATAGTATTTTCTCATCCTGAATACTAAATTGAGATGATTTTGTTCTAACTATGTTTTCTTCTTTACAGGCCAGCACCTCACATACTTACTAATTAGTGACAATTTGTACATCCTTTGCTATTATTTACATTTTTTATCATGGCGGAAATGAAAGACTGTACCTGGCAGCCCTGCACTACAATGAAAACGCTGAGCGTGCACAAGCCAACATCCACTGGAAACCCTCTGTATAAACTGCAGTTCCCAAAGGCCAGGAAGGGAGAATGCAGAGCAAAACCAGTAAAGACTGACCCCACATTCCGTAAGTGTTTAAAATATTTATATACAACTATTTACAAATATAAAATTAGAAAGAACTTTCAGTTTTTTACATGCATATACTAATCTAAACCACATTTTTTGTTGTGCTTTTTTTTAACATTGCACAGGCTACGTGGCCAACTTGATGGACCTCATCTTCGACCAAGTCTTTGTGGACCCTGCACCATTATGAGCGACCTGACAGGGAGAGGTCATCGCCGGGTATGCTACACGGTTCAATTTGGCTGCTGTCTGAACCCAACATCGACATTTTGCGGATCAGGAAACTCCTGCCTCCTTGAGGACAACGCAGGCCGGAATCACCACTCTGATCCTGCGTCCAAGGAAGCCCCAGCACCAGCTCACAAAGCTTCTGTAGGCTAGATACCTGTGACGCCTGAAATCATTAAAAAATATATTTAGTGTAATTTATACAAAATACAAGTACATTTAATTTTTTTTTATGGGTTCAAAGAACCGTTGATTTTGACAATAAAGTTCCGAGTTGATATCAAATGTGTCGTGATTATTCATGTTTGGATGGGTAAAGAATATTCTGATTTCAAAAGCATAAGGTTGTGTGTGGACTTTTTTTGTCGTACACATGGGTGTGTTATGCCATTGCTGTGTAATAATATATATATATATATATATATATATAGTACATGTACAATGAAAGATTGCATAAAGCCATATACACCAGTATTTATTTCCATGAACAATATTAGCATTCGTTTTACAATTTCAGTCAAAACAAACAAACCACTCACTGCTCTATTTGCCTCAACTGTAGTCCACCATGTTCAGCTCTGTAAATATTCAATGCATTCTGCAGGGAGAACACATTCAGGCACACAGGCTCCAATCCAGGATGGTCCACCATACAGGTTACAGAGTCCTCAAGTTCCTGCATCCGTCTTGACACCTAGTGTGATAAACATATTGAATGACATGTTAAAAATGCATTCTCTAAACAGACAACTTAGTGAAGCTATCAAAAATGTTACCTGTGGTATCTCTATGCAGCACACATTCTCCGGTTCAGAAGGCATCGTGGCGCAATTTGCACATGTACACCTGTAGAAAGAAGTCAATAACTGAGCTTTTAAAAACACATGAAACTACACACACTGCTGACAACTGAGGTGTTGTTGGAGTTATACTTTTTATCACCCTAAGTTATTGAACTTTCCAACGGTTGTTGCCGATGTTGGAAGAAAAGGGCTGTAAACTATTAAAACGCAATGAGGCCATTGTATATATGCTGAAAATATGAATGTCTCCCTTTATAAATATATATATGTATCGCTGTTTTTGCGTTACAAGCTCTAAGTTATAAACTGTACACATAGCATTCTTGCTAATTAGCCAAAATTGAACGGTATAAGTAGCAATCATCGTAACAGAGTAAAATAATAGGAACAACAGCTTGTCAACTTACCATTCAGAAACGTCCTGCTGCAACCGAGATCTTTGCACCTCCACCAAAACCTCCGCTGCTTCAGGGTCAGTCTCTGGATCAAATTGATAATACGCTTGAACACATGCATTGCTCTGAGATGACATGTTTATTCCACACTCGTAATCACAGCAAGCATGTTAACGTGACTCTCACCGGCTCATGCCCCGCTCTTCTGCAGGGGGGCGTGGTCAGCTGCTGCTCAGAATTTTCAAAGACAGGCTTGGAAAAGAGCGAAAATGAGCGAAACGAGGCATGGCTAAAAAATGATCTGTTTGGTATTTTGAAAAATAAAATGTATAAATATACCTTATATAGGTATGGTCATACACTATATCATTTAAATATAGCATGATAGGTCTCCTTTAAAGGTTCTAAACGTGAAGAATCTGGTTTAAAAAGAAAGGAAATCATTTACAGTGATTCTGTATGTATTTACAACATTCTGCATTTTATATTGCAGATACATTCTAACAGCGACTGATCTGTTCACGAAGTGGGTGGTAGCAAAAACGCTCTACCACAAAACAGCTGTTGAGGTCTCAAAAAAGATTGTAAATATTCTTCTCGATTTCGGTCTTGTCGAGAAGATCATTACCGACCAAGGACGGGAATTTGTCAATGAGGTACAATAATCTATCTAATACAGTGTATGTGTTATGTGTAACAATGTAATACGATTTTTCAGGTAATTTGGTAATTGGTGTACACTAAACCATCTGCAGGTCAACCGTGGTGTTTTTGATGCACTGGGTGTAAAACACTGCATCACTTCAGCGTACCATCCCCAGTGCAATGGCCAAGATGAGCGTACAAACCAAAACATAAAAAAAGCACTTGCAAAGTACTGTGGAGAGGACCAGAATGACTGGGATTTACATCTGAGGGGCATTGTGGCGAGCATTAACACCTCAAAGCAGGTACAATGTTGTAACAAATGCAGATGGAAACAATACTCACAGAGATACTAAAAGGAATTTTTATGCTTTCAGAGGTCAACCAAGTGCACGCCCTATTTTGCCCAGTTTGGGAGGCACCCTCGCGTCCCGGGTGTTATAAATGCTACAGTCAATGACAGGGATGATACCTCTGTTTTGGTGCCTGCTGATGAGGCAGAAAGCAGCTTGAGGCAAAGGCTGCAACCATTGCAGATTTGCACTCGAAGGTGAGAATAAAATGGCAATATTTAAAACATAATAACTCCTAAAAAATGCAAGCGTATGTTAAGGACTGTAAATGATAACTGTTACATATCTTTCTCAGATTTACCAGAACATCCAAATAGCACCACAGAGACAGAAAATCTCTTTTGAAAAACGCAAGGGAAAGAATGTGAAATCTTTCCTGATTAACGTTTGGAGATGAGGTCCTAAGAGCGAATAAGAGGAAGGAGGGCCGAAAAGGTGGAAAACTGGAGTGCAACTGGTTTTGGCCCTTATGTGGTTTCCTCAATCACCAACAAGGGTGTGGCAACCCTGTTGAGCTCAACAGGAGCTCAGCTGAGACAGAGTGTGAATGTGTCTCAGCTTGAAGCCCTTTATCAGGCCTATGTTGAGAGGTATTTTGATTATCAATACAAGACACATTTTAGGTATACTTCATGTGTGGGTACTTCAATAATACTGTTTATTTTGTGTCTATCTAATAACACTGAACCGAAGTTGGATTCGGAGGGGGTCCAGTTGCTGACCACCAGTATGCCCTCTCTGGTGCGAAATACGCAAAGTGATCTACATCCGATTCAAGACAAGCTGGTAGATATATGTTTACTTCATGCACAGTGATGGAGGTGCATTGTTTGGATTTTAATTTTTCTATGTTTTCTATTGGCTTGAAGTATGTTTTGCAATCTGTTATTTGCAGCTCAGCTATGTGCTAGACCACAATAGGCCTGGAGCAGAGGTCATTGTGAAGGAGGGTGATGTGTGCCTGACCAGAGAGGACTTTTGGAGCCTGGGTCTTCTCAGTGCATGGAGTCAAATGTAGGTATACTTGAGCTTTCCTCCCAACTTCATCTTGTCTCAAAATAAATGGCACAGGTAACTTACTGTGTGTTACTGTTTCAGATTGGAAACCGTGCCTGAAGATGGTACAAGAAGCCACCCAAAGACATGTAACGGGTTTTCAACAGACATCATTGGCCTGCTTTTTTCTTTTGAATAACACATATTTTCTAAATAGCTGTTTAGTGGTGAAAACTGCCAATCTCGTGAAGTGTGGTTTGTCTCTTGTTGTTGAACATACTTCTATGAAGATTTCATTTTTTTTGAAAAACTATCAATATAGGGCAAAGATATATACATCGTGGATATGTATGTGGTTCCTACCTGGAAGTCCAAAACAGCTGACGTGTTGGCCAGTAGTTTTCCAGTAAGTTCCTGTTGCTTGAGACCTATGTTTCTTGAAATTGATATACAGCAACTTAACTAAATCCCTTGTTTAAAATACTAGGCTGACCAATTGGCCACCAAGGACATGGTTTTTCATCCCTGCCTGGAGTCGGCAGCAAGGAAAGGCAGATCACTATTTGCTTTGCGTGAGTCTGTTCCAAATGATCTCACCAGCATGTACAAAATGAACATAAGTTGTGCTGTGTGGTTTTCTTCTGGTGTTTGATTATGTCTAATTTCAGCTATTTTTGTCAATGGTTGAACAGGTGATCAAGCCAGCAAAGAGAGAGTTATATTTGCTCGACCCTCTTAAGCCAGATGGCTTTGGGGGACAATTCCTACAAGGACATATTTAGGTTTTTGTAACATGATTACCCCCCTCACCGTTCTGTGGCTTGTATGGGAGTTCTAAATAGTTTATAGTATTCTAATACTGCAGTAACCATCTTGTAGACCAGGGGTCTGAATCTGATCAAATTCATTTATAATATATCTCCATTTCCACAAAGTCTGGAGTGTCCTTAGTGGAACCAAAAGAAAAAGAGTCTGCAACAGGATGCTATGAATTATAATATTCATTTTGTTATAAGCCTTGTTCAAAGGTTGTTTTCAAGTTCAGCTTTGTTCAGCGGCTGGTAAACGTATTTTTGTTTGTTTTATTTTAGCCCCGTTCAGTGGCTTTCATAACTTTCCTCTTTTAAGGCATGCAATAGTTCAATGTAAGGAAATCCAAAAACATGAATTATATTGAGTATAGCGTTCCTTCACCAAATCAATTCCCATGTCTTATCATTTCTTTTGACAGTGACCTAGCGCACCGCATTGCTCCAGGTCAGTGGACAGTAAAGTTCGGGCAAGAGACGTCAAGGTACATTTCTCCACCATCTCATACACCTGCTTTCACATGTCTTTATTTTCCATTTGACCATGAACATCACTGTTATATTCCAAATTCTTACAGGGTTAGCCTCACCAAACCACGGGCAATGACTGTGGTGTCTTCATACTGATGGTAAATTCCTCCCTTGACACTTTTTTTTAAGGGGTTTTGTTAGTTTTTGAAACTCATAACTTAACAGATCTTTATCCTTTCACAGTATGCACTCAACTTCAGCACAGATGCTCTACTTTGGTTTACCGAGGTCAGTATTTATCCTCTGAGTTAGTATTTCAGGGGGAAGAGGGGGCTAACATTGAGTAGACAAATGATGAGGTTCCATTCATTTTCAACTTTATTATTGTTACATTTTCTTTTAGCGGGACATAGCACAGATCCGGAAATGGTGGTGCATTATGCTCATGGAACGGTACCAGATTGAAGGGTAAATCATACATTTTAAATGTTACTTTATAGACAACAGTTTCTTTGACACTGATTTACATTTTCATCCTGATATTATGTGATTTTTATAGCCACGGACAGATCCAGATTATTTAACACATGCATACATATTGATAATTGTATACACATGTAATTAAACAATCACATGACCCCACACCTTATATTTTCCTTCAAAGGTCCAGTTTCAAAAGTCCGACATGTGCTTCATATTGGAGGGTAATATCTTTTCAGTGAAGCAGTAACTGTCTTTTTGTTTAAAAAACGACCTGTGATCACGGCAGAATTTCCAACTATTATGTCTCACTGCTTTTTTTAACTTTATTGATAGCTGTTTTTTACCTCAAGGAGAAGAATAACAAAACATAAGAAAAATGTGTGTGATATATTCAACATTAATATTAAAAATGTGTCTTTTTGCTACCTGAAGCCCAAAGAATCTTGGTATTTCGATTGTGCTGGCAACAGTCTAGTCAATGTGTTGTTAAATATGTTTGATCTAGTCTGACCAATACTTCACAGCTGCCAAACTGTCTTCTCTCGGACCTTCTGATGGAAGTGGTTCTCCAGGAAGGTGACAAAGCGTACTCATCACTCACTCTAGTGTGTACCACCTTCAGAGACACAATGTCCACTGTGTCTTTCAGAAGAGGGGCCCCACTTTCGCTGGCTTGAGAGTAAGTGATTCAGGAAGGTGCAGCAGTATACGACAGCTGTGGTGTCTATGCATATTTTTAATGGCTCTATTGAAATGCTTGTTTTACACAGGTGTTGCTACATGGAGTTTGTTCTCTGCTTCATACAAGCAGGATTTCAACGTCATGTACACCATTGACACCTGCCGTGGGATGCTTGGAGCCTTACAAAAAACTGCAAACCAGGTAGACTCTTATTCTGGATAATAATGTTTATGTGTCATTACATATTTAGTGTGTTGTGGTCCTAGTGTGATTCAATTACAATATTTTCTTTTCTATTCATAGGATATGTTGGGAAAGGTAAAAGAGGAGAATTGCAGGGCATCTACTCTGATGACCAACATCCAGGCTATTGCAGTCCCTTCTGCAACCAGATATCATAGGTAAAGATTAACTCACACAAACAAATGTCAGAATAGACTAAATTGTCACTGCAATTAATGAAGATCATCATTTGATATCTTACCTTCAAGTTTGGTTTTCCCGGACGCTGCCCGTCGTGGACTTCGGGTCGTGGACTTCGGGTCGTGGCTGAACCTGTCTCTGCAGTCCTGCCTTGGGTCATGCTGCTTCCCTGATGGCTTCCTCATATATTCTGAACAATCTGTGCTGTTTTTCCTATCCACATGTAAAAGGAACTAGAAGGATTTCTTGATACTAAGGGCTGTAGAGAAAAGTTTGGAGCTTTTTCCATTAACGTTGAAGTTCAAATTCTCAATAAACACTTGAATGCTGTGCTGTCTTTCTATTTACTTGAATGTGTGAATTCATTCAGTTGGGGTAGGTAAGCTTGGGATGGATATATGAAATATATACATACAAAAAATTAGAGACTCTTTCCAATGAAAGTAGCTAGCCGCAATAGCTCCAAGATTGCTATATCTAGTTTGTAGGGTCGCCAAGTTGGCATCATTGACAGTTCGTCTCTTAAAGCCTCTAAAGCTCTGCAACAAAAAAGGATCATTATGAATGTAAATACTATACATGGTAATGCAGCAGGGCATAGTGCGATGAGGCAGGCAGGCAGAACCAGATTTATTTCTAAATATTTGTCGATCAATATTAGGCTACACTAATATAAGGCTACTAGTATTATGATATTACTGCAATAATATTCCAGTGGTGGCCTGCTTAAGGTTGTTGTCTGGCTCGTTTGATCCAAACATTGTCCAAAGCTCAAATGTATTGTAATAGATGTAAGAATTCTCAAAATGTACAATATGTTTTGATCCAACACAATATTCTGATTCAATCCATATATGTTTAGGGGTTTTTTTTTCACCAAAATAAATAGACTGCCTTCTCTCCAGCTCACCGCACACAAGGAGGGGGGGGGGGTGGGGGGGGGGGGGGGGGGGCACATCTGTATTAACGGGTCAGTCTATAAGCACTCTATAGCACCATAAATTACATTTAAATAACCACAAAAAGACAATTATTGTTTCCGATATTGATTTAACGAGATGCTGTTATAACATGGAAACGGCTTAATTTAAAAAAAATAAGCTTCAAAAATGTTTTATGAAGCACACTGGGTACAGCCCTGTAATACATGTGTTCCGTGTGTATATAGTCTTACGCAAAGAAACACATAGCATGAACAGACTGCAACAAAACCAGTCTTACAAAACAGACTTCTGCTAAACTGGTAGGTCGAAGCAAAGCAATCTGCCTTAGATGAAGTTCACACAGAACTGGGGAAAAAGGGAGAACATCTTAACTATGCTTTCAAACGTACAATGAATCAGGCTATAGATGATAAAAGTGTTGGCTAAAAAGTTAACGCAGAATATAATATATTTTTTAATTGTGAAATAATTAAGTACACACACATAACAAGCTTGTACCGAGTTCCTCCGGCTGCAGTTCCGCAGACGGCCGGTGTGTGCAGCATAGCGCGGGGAGCAGAGGGAGGTGAGTATAATGACGGATATGAACGGATGATCGGATGCGACGGAAATACACCCGAACATATTGGTAGGCCGAACATATCTGGTACTGACACCGGTACTAAAATTAGTTCATGAGAACCTTTTTACCCCCCACGAAAGTCCCTGCTAGAGAGCAGAGAGCTGCTAGAGAGCAGGGACTTTCGTACGGCTCTCTTGTGAGAAAAGAGTTATATGTCTGATTGGCTGGGCGGATTGCAAACCACGCCCCGTAAAACTCCCCAAAAGTTTGTGAAGCCGCCATTTTATTATCCTCGCATTAGCATTATTAGCATTAGCCCAGCGCAGAAACGCAGAGAGACTAATTTATGGCAACACAAAATAAACCATGGGAGCGGTGGAGATGAGGAGGTGTCGGCGTTCTGGCGATTTACTCGGAAGGCTTCAGTAGAAGCTGCTGGGACTCCCAGCAGCTTCTACTGAAGCCAGTCCCCAACTCCGGGGACTTCCGGCCGGGGACTTTGGGCGGCAGTATACGCCGTGAAGTGGTTTGCGGCCTGCCAGTAAACCCAAAGCAGAAGAAGAAGATGTGACGTCAGTGGGCTTCATTTGCCTAATCCACCCCCAGGTTCAAAGAGTTCTCATGAACTAAATTCTCATGAACCTTTGTGGGAAAAGTACTGCGGTGCGCCTAATGGTATACTAAAATCCATGTGAAAAAAATTGCTTCTCACTGTTCTCAGGTCAAATATGTATATGTGATTAAAAATGCGATTAATTTCGATTAATTAATTACAAAGCCTCTAATTAATTAGATTAATTTTTTTAATCGAGTCCCGGCCCTAATAATAATAATAAATCATATGTGTCCGAAAGGGAGTAGGAGGAAGCAAATGCTTATTCCCACCCCTTACTTGATCAATGATTGTCCTTTAAATCATTATGCAAGTTATTCCTACTTAGATTACATTTATACATACATATACAATAATTTCTCGTCTTCAATCACCTTTCTTCATTCTCATATTTTTCCAAAAAAGTGTTTCTGTACATCCTTTTAAACTGAATTATGCTTGTGCTTTGTTTTAACTCCTGCTCCAAACCATTCCATAAAATCACCCCACAGATTGTTAAACTCATACTTCTCAGAGTTGTTCTGACCTTGAGTTGTTTAAAATGTAGATTTCCTCTCAAATGATACCCACCCTCTCTGTCTATGAACAATGTTTTTAATTTCCTAGGAAGTAGATTATGTCTGGCTCTGTACATGATTTGTGCCGTTTTAAATGTAACCAGATCAATGAACTTCAATATGTGTGACTTCAAAAAGAATACATTAGTGTGTTCAAGATATCCAACATTATTGATAACTCTTATAGCCCTTTTTTGTAATGTGCATAACGGCTGTAGGTTGGTTTTGTACGTGTTTCCCCAAATCTCCACACAGTAAATCAGATATGGCAATATTAGTGTGTTATATAGAGTATACAATGAGTTATAGTCCAGAATGTATCTGGCTTTTCCCAATATTGCGATAGTTTTAGCCAGTTTTGCTTTTACATGAGTGATATGAGGTTTCCAGCTGATTTTGTGGTCTAAAACCACACCAAGGAACTTAATTTCATATACTCTTTCTATGTGTATGTTATCTAGTATTAATTGTATCTGTGGATTTGTTTTATGTTTTCAACAAATTCAACAAATTGTTGTCTGTTGCTTAAATAATCTCTCACCCAGTTTAATCCCACCCCTCTGATGCCATACCGTTCCAGTTTTATCAGTAAAATATTGTGATCTATGGTGTCAAATGCTTTTTGTAAGTCTATAAATATTCCCACTGCTTGTTTTTTATTGTCCATGCAGTTAGCTATTTCCTCACTTAATTCCATTAGTGCCATAGATGTTGATCTATCTTTCCTGAATCCATATTGACTGTCGTCCAAAAGCTGATGTGTTTCCATGAAACTGTGCCGTGGAAAACTGTACAAATCCCGTTTCAATAATTCCCCTCTACTGTAAAGTCGCATCTAAAACGTGATCTGATCTAGCTGTGTATATTTTGTTATTTGTGATTGTTATATTCAATCTCACTAGCTACAGGCATGTTTGAAGCTTGTAAAGGGAAGATGACAGCTCTCGCCACTCTGCTGTTCCTCAGCGCCGCCCCCCTCCCTCCCGATGAAATTATGAATGTAAGGTGTATAGTAATCATAGATAACACGACAGGGTCCGTTACAGTTTGTTTTTATCTGATTTCAAATAAGCGTTTCAGAATATTAAACTTGTTTCGGCAAATTCAGATGATAAATAGGCCTACAACTTTGAAGCTTGTGACGGCATAATTACAAGCGGAGAACGGAGTAGCTTAACGTCACAGCAGCCATAACAACAGCCGGTGTTTCTCGTGAGTGCATAATCCAAACGAAAATATCTTCCCTCCGTAGTATTTTGATCATTTGCTCCGCTAATAATCAATCATGATGATTGATGATGAGAAATGATGGATTCCAGAGAAGAGAAAACTTTAAAGGCCTTTTTCTCAAAATGATGACTATGTAACAG